GGGGGGGGTATTTGCTTAAATCAGAGGTCACGGATTAGCGGGCTGCGGTCCAGATCTGGACCCTCCTGCTGGCTAATCCGGACCCAACCTAATTTAAAACACTTATAAATTACTGCATGTTCAATGACAGTTTCTAAATTCACTTGCGCTGCTTCTCAGGTTAATATCGTAAAGCCTTCCGCAGCATCAAAATGAGCACCTTGATATGTGCTTGAGAATGGCTTTGTCGCTAATCAACCCCAGATTTAAAACCTTGCAGGTCAGCGTAAAGCCCACTGCTCTCATTAAGCCATAAAAAAAGGTTAAAAAAAAGTCAGTTCAGTTATTTTATGAAATATGTGAATCAGGAAATTGTCTATATACCAAACTGAACAATTGTTATTCTCTACTTTAAAAAACACTGTAGATTTTAAAATGGAAAACGCTTCTATTTTTTTCTACTTTTTTATTTAAAAATTAAATGTATAACATAAAAACCTCATTTTATTTCAGTGTTAAATTCTGTTCAAAGTAACAGATTATAATTAAAAATATCTTTGGACCTTTACTGGTTGATGATTTTCTATATACTTGGACCCCACTGATTTTTAATTAGTGACCCCTGGTTTAGATGATAGAAAGACCTGACATTGAGCTGTGACCCTTAATCCATGAACTTATTAGAAACCCCATCATTGTTAGAAACCTTCGGTCAGACCTGCTTATTCTAGAGACTCAGGCAGAGAGTTGTATACAGTCCATGCAAAAATGTTATAAAAAACAACTATAAATGCTTATACCTTTTCACATTTCGATGCATTATAATGACAACAGTTCCTGTTTTTTTTTAGTTGTCTTGATTTAGTTCAACACACATCATTGCATATTATGAGTTGTGGGAAAAGGAATGATTATGCATTTACTAGTTTTGGACATCCTGAAAATAGAATATGTGCTTATTTTTCATTGTAAAGCCCTTCAAACTCCACAGCAGTGAATGGAGAGCATCTACTGTAAGAACAGTGAACTAAATTAAAGCCAGTTTTCTATTCCTGGCCATTTTAACACTTTAAAGGAAAGTCCGGTCAGCAAGGGATAATCAATGGATCATTATCTATACCTAAAACGAATAGGTTTGCAGTGATTTAATGAATTTAGTATTTATCAGTAAAAAAATGAAAATAATTTCTGTCACGATCACTGAGTCAGAGACCAGCCATTTTTTCGCCCAAATAGAGCAACGCCTCACTCCTGACATCTTCCAGGAGTGACGTAACGGTACGGTAAGCCGAGCGCCATTCTGCCTGCTTTACAAGCAAAATCAATGGGAGCTACTATCCCCCCACCACAATCAACAACAATCATTTAAGATTTCAAGAGGACTTCACCATTGCAATTTGTGAGAGCTATAGTTAAATGGACAATGTCCACGTGCATGGCAGTTGGATGTTTTAATACATCGGGTAGAAGTGAAAAGAAAAAATCGTTATTTCACCTTTCTGATTCATGGTCCACCACCGGTTTGTCATTGGATTGCCAACTTGAAGAGGGAGGATTTGCTATCAAACTTCTGGCCAGAGAAAAAACACGTAATATGTAGCCAATATTTCGAGGAAGAATGTTTTTAAGATGACTTGGATAATAGTGCATTGTGACAAACACCAGATACAGCACTGGGACTTGCTCAACAGCTGATACCGCACTGTGACGTCACAAACTGGTAGGTGGCAGTAGTGTTCTGTGACAAACATGGATGCCTCCAGTAAAGCACATTCAAATGAAAATTACTCTTAATTAAAGCACTTATCATGTCTTGAACAGAATGTAATAATTTCACAGTTTTAGGTAATTTATTCCTGCTGTTTCTGTATGTGTAATGACGCTTTTATGCTGGAAGGTGAACCTCCATCCTAGTGTTACTTTTTTTGCAATATCTATAAGATTTGCCTCCTGGATCACCATGTATTTAACCTAAACAACTTTCTCATTACCAGCATTTCCATCTTTGCTCAAGCACAGCATCCCTGCAGCATGTCATTGCCCATGTTTCACCATGGGGATTGTGTGCTCCGGGTAATGAGCAGTCACAAGCACACCCTCCATATATTAGCTCAATCTATTATATGACAAGTGGGACACCTCTATTTTTTCTGACTTTTTTCTTGCCTTGCCAAGATTTGTGGATTGCACAAATAGTAACTGAACCTGTGTTCACGAATACTCTAACAAACTTGAGGCCTTCACAGAAAAACAATTAAATCACAAACTGTTTACAAACTCTTAAGCAGCTTTGACTAGAATATGATCTTAATGTCCCCACAAAATTTGCATCACCCCAATCAAAGATAAGAAACACAGAAAACCAACAATAATAAGGCACTGATTCTTAGACCTAACAAATAAAAAAGGAAAGAGTGGAGGTGAAAAATGTCACAAGAAGACTGTAAGCAATAAGGTCCATATGAATCCACATAGCATGACTTTAATTGTCAGGTTGTTAAAAAAGAATATAGAGTAAGACCAGCTGTCACACAGCTACCGTTGGTGTTATGTACCAACTGATTACTATAACCTGAACCTGGTTAAATGATATATCCTGTATCCCCACATAAATGATCTCTTTTTACCACCAGCCCACACAATAAGGGTAAAAGTTTATATAAGGCATGTGGGATTTTGTTTGACACTTCCTGAAGTAAAGTTCCACTTATCTTGGAGCTTTGCCTAAGGTGGAGACGCCACTCGCCATAGAAAATGGTGCATTGGAGAGACGGGAATAAAAAGAAACAGAGATGGATAAAAAAGCGAAGGTACTCGATTGACAAAATAATTTTAAAAAGGGAAAATAATAGATATCTTAAAGATACTGTGTTCTGTTTTCTTTAACATTATAAGTGAGACCAAATAGGGTATTGAGCAACATGGGGCTTTTAGTTTTAATTTTACATAAAGGGGTAAACTGCTATTTGCTAATCTACTTGTTGTGATATTGTCAGGTCTCCACTTACTGTCCAACAACTATGCAGGGATCCTTCATGAGACTCAGTCACTTTGCACAATAAGTTGTATTTACGAAAAACTTTGCTTTTATTCTGCCTAAAATATTGCAAATGGCATTTGCCATCTGTGTTCTTCAGCTAAGTGTTGCAAACAGGATATTTCTTCGCAAATATAATGTTTGTTTTTTTTTTTACAGAGAAATGAAAAACTGGTTCAAATGTATTGATAAGGCCTTACTTAAAGGTATAGTGGAGGATGTTCTTATTCTTGGTTGGATCATCAAAATAAGTGGTCCACCTAACTGTCAATCATTCTGGTGATATGTTTACTTAAGGCCGTCCTACGTGCTCGTCCCCATTTTCACTTACTGGTGGTGAGTCTGACATAGTGGAAAACTTGCAAATCTTCTTTTGGAAAGTAAGCTTGTATGAGCGATGGAAACAGCAACTTTTAAACAGAGCATGCATGAGGAGAAATGGGCTTGTGCATGCTCTCGCACGTGTTTAATAGGGAGCGGGTAAAGGGTTGTGCATGTGCATGCTTTTTTTAAGTGGAGACAGTGGGTCTTTTCAAAGAGTTGCAGAAATCCTCCACTACACCTTTAAATAAGGTCAATACATATCGGCACACAGTTAGCAGTATGTACACGTAAATACAGCAAACATATTGGGCCGGATTTATCAAAGGTTTGCGTGTATTAAAACGTGAGCTATTTCACTGCGCACGCTAAAAAATGTACAAACTGATCTATCAACAGCGTGCTAAAAGGATTTGGTCTTTAAAACGTGCTAAATAGCGTCTCTTATCCATTTAGTACTTTTTCTGCAATGAATATTCAATATAGGGCGTTTACACGCAAAAGTGCGTCTTGTGGGAGGAGAACATGTAAATATATTAATTTAGCACTCGCAAAGTGATTTATCAAACCTGAAAGCAATTTTGCTAACGGTATCTGACTCTATATTTAACACGTTTCAAAAGAAGGTGCAAATGGTCTGTATGCGTAATTGCGCACACATGGCAGCGGTTATTGTCGGAAGAAGGAGACATCGAAATGAAGCAAGGAGACGCAGAGAACGCATTTTTTCACTCCGTGTGAATATTTTTGGAATGAACGAGGAAACGATCATCAAAACATATCGTTTATCCAGCATTGCCATTTTGGAGCTGTTGGGGGAACTCCGAATGGATTTGGAGCCAGGCACAAGGAGGACCCACGCAATACCAGATATCACGAAACTCCTTGCAACATTGCACTTTTTTGCATCTGGGATCTCCCAATCTCGTTTTTCAGAAGTGCTGTCCGACGTTCTAAATGCCATGTCGCCCTGACGCCCTACCGGAGAACCCCGACACCCTGCGCCTGTGGAGCAACATGCCAATGCAGTCATCTTATCCACAGTCACTTCTTGTGAGCCATTTGGTATGTGCATTTTTCTACAGGCCGATACAAAACACGTATTTTTTTTTTGTTTGTGTGTTTTTTTCTTACTGCGGTGAAGTAGAAATTCAGCCACATACCACCTTAGGGAATAAAGGTTGCCAAAGTTTATATATATATATATATATATATATATATATATATATATATATATATATATATATATATATTTCTTTTTTTGGAGGGGGTGGTGTCACTGTAAGATTAAAATTTCTTAATGCACTAGTTTGCACAAACTACAAACTACTTTGCCGCAAACCACAAAACGCGCAAAACCATCATTTAAATAGGGCGTCTCCTACAGTTTTGCGCCTGCCACCAGTTACGCAATCGCTCTTGTTAAATCACCCGCAAACCATGGTTCAGCCCCTCGCGCAAAATTCCACTTTGCGAGCGCAAATTACTGCACGCAAAATTGGATCTTGATAAATCCGGCCCATTGAGTACAAAGTTGAAACTTTTTTTTTTCTTCCAGAGAGTCATGTTTTCTATAGAGTAGTGAAAGCATGTACAGTATGTAAACAAAAACCTTATTAGCACAATAAGACATGGATGGAAAAAAAGCATTTACTAAACTTACCCCAACCTCCACATGATCTGACCCCTTGTCATCCTGCTTGTGAAGAATCTCAAAATAGTATCGCCTGGATGAGATCAGGCTAAAGGGAAAAAACAAAAAGATTAATTGTTAGATTGAAATCTGACTAGACTATATAACAATACCTTTTTTTAATCATAATAAAATACAAATGGATCAAGAAAAAGTTTAACAAGGCTTGCCACCCATCCCCGTACAGAGATTTACAGTCTCCGAATGCACCTTTTTTTTTATCTTTAACAATATATATTTTAATAACATAAAACGCATTTTATATTAATAATTTATTCTTATTAGATTTTTAATCTTTAATCAGTTGATAGAGATACATTTACACGGAAGTTTTGTAATACACACTTTTAAATGGATGCGACTTGCTCTTGTTACAGTTGAGAATAAACAATACCCTAACATTTGATATTTTGAAACAAATATAAAGGTCTTTATATTATTTATCTATGATCTTTATGGAATTGTATGATTTAAAAGCCCTAATAACATATTTTATAGGGCCTTTAAATGTATAAAGCCAACAACTTCACTCTAAAACTCTAAAATGCTGGTAATCACCTCACAGAATGGAGGAAGATGTGATAAGAAAATGACTTTCTGCAAAGGGGAAGATGGTTAAAGATGAGAGTAAGCAGCAGCTTTATAAGCCTTGAATCCTTAATAAAAACACTCCTTTAGAGCCAGTAGGGAATAAAATCCATGCTCCAAATAAATCATAAATTTCCTCTCATGCAGTTTGCAGCTTTTTCTGTGAACATAATTTATAGGTTCACCATGTATGCCATTTCCCCATATCAATTTGACATGCACAAAAAAAGCAAACAATGGCTCATTTATATAAAAGCCCTTTTGATTTATTTGGACAGACTTTGACTATGGAATGAAAGATACTGCGCTGCTCCACACAACATTAACTTCAAAAACAGACAGAAACACAGTGATAACCCAAAAGCTTCACTTCTGTGAGTTTATCTATAAGCAGATCAAATGCTCCACCAGACAAAAGACAGCAATTTAACAAGAAGAGAAATTATATTTCCTGTAAATATTTAGATTCTAACAGTCTTTTGAGCAATTAAATTTCATCTCTATGGCCTGATTCGAGGCACTGTCATCTGTCTTCTTCTTGCTTTGATAAAAGTTAAAAGGATGGATCAAAATCAACATGTTTTACTGTGTAAAGCTGCATTTTTCCTTTTGTATGGTGGGCTAAGCTGAAAGCGTAGGACACAGGCCAATGTGGAGATAGTCATGTGTTGCCCCGGGCATAAACTCCTCTCTATCATCCTACTGACAAACGTTCTGTGGAGCCAATAAATCACTGTAGGTGCAGGAGAGCACTGAAAGTATTCTATGAAGGTCAGACAGGAAATATCTCTCTGTATAGCTGTTGAAATTTCACTTAACTAACTTAAGTGTCACTATATGATCCTAGCTGCCCTACTTGCCCTTAATAGAAATATACACATAACACAATTATTAAACCTTAACTTCACTTAATCCATGCCTAAAAGATAAATAAATGATACTTTCCCCAAATCAAGTGAATTTACAAACAGAGCAGTATTAAAACTGGTTATTTGTTACATCTTTGATTGACTTATGCTGGTGGAGTCTTACTTTATGTAACTGTTATCTCTTACTATATTCTGTTGTGTTTCAGGAACATCACAAGCCTTTATTAGACTTTGGATTTGTTTGGAAATTGTTAGCATTTTCTTCTTTGTAGTATGCAGGTCCTTGGTTTTTATTCTGGCCCGTTTCACAAAGCAGGTTTAACAAAAACTCAAATCCTCAACTATGAATTGATCTAGCCTAGCCCTCTGGTGCATAGTGGTCACTGTAGTGGACAGCTACTACAAAGTAGATATCTCTTTCATTCTATGGTTTCTATAGTGAAACCTTACCGCCAAGCAAACACATATAGGCTCCCCATTGTAAGACCCTTCCTAAGTACACTTCAGGAGACATTCAAGGCAGCAGCAGATCCTGAGGAATTTCAGTCACTTCAGTAAGCTATGAGTGTCATTGGTTTCCTTATTCGGTTCTTAACATTGTGCCTTTGTAATGTAAAAAATTAAACAAAACATGTTGAAATATTTTTCAAAGCATAAAATGAATCAATGGTCTGCATTTTTTACAACAGAATACTAGATCATTATTTTTTTTTTAATAAATTCATAATATTTTATATTGAGTTCTCATGTGTGCATAGTCCACTCCAGTGGACATATCTGTAACTTCATGAAACAACAATATTTTTGGGAAAAAAAGTTAAACATTTTTTTTCATGTCCTAAGAATAAGAAAAAACCTTGAGAAAAAAATCTTGATCAAGGCTTTCATAATTCATGCATCAGAGGGCTAGGGTTGGAAATAAAAAAAAAATTGGTCGCGGACCAAAAAAGGGAACTCTGATCCATCTAAAAATCTGCGTCTTAGCTTGGGAGTGATATTTGATGCAATTCACCTATAGTAGAAAAGACAAACAGATCATCTGGTGAAAGAATGAGAGGAACTGAGCCAACAGGACTATATGTTTCTAATTGTTTAAAGTGGGCAGTTAAGTTAACTTTAACAGCAAACACCAACTCTGTTAAGCTAATGAGACTTTTTATTAATATTGAAGCTTTAAATGTTTTCTTAAATTACATATATATTAAAACTGAAATTGTAAGTGAAGTTTAAAATGTGATGATCACTACAATTTAAATGATTGCTGGCCTCCATGAGCTTGTGGTGCAACAATAGAGGACTTTAAATAGGGTGGAAATATTCTCATATATAAGTATGACAAAGGAAAAATGTATGACTTATTTAATCATATTTATTTAATAACTACCGTAATTAAATTGTAGCGGCTTGTTGGATAATGTTGGCTTAGAGCAGGGGTCGGCAACCAATGGCTCCGGAGCCACGTGTGGCTCTTTCATCCTTCTGTTGTGGCTCCCAGTGACTTTGGGAAATAGAATATTTTATTAAAATTAAATCATTAAAAAATTATAAATTAAAATAATTTTAAAATAAATGTCTAAATCTGAAGATTATGGTAAACTTGTAACATTAAAACAAAAAGTTTTGAACATTTTTAGCACCCAAAATATACGTCATGTCCGCCGATGTGCGACAGGCATTCCTAGCATACCCCACATGTCTGACAGACCACATTTTTTAGCTCACTGATTTATTGACTTTTTGACCCTCGCCTGGAAGAAACATTATGAATAAATCTAAGAAAAGGAAACATCCTGAAGATGGCAGAACATTTAATGCTACGTGGACAGATCATTTTGCTTTCACCGCTGAGGAAACTGGTTCACCAGTCTGCTTAATATGTGGCGAAAGACTGGCAAACAACAAGAAGTCAAATGTTGAAAGACATTTCGAGAACAAACACTCTGTCTTTGCTAAAAGATATCCCGAGGGAGAGGAGAGAAAAAAGGCTGTTTTGGAGCTGATGCGGAAGGCTGAAGCGAGCAGGAGTCACTTCAAAAAGTGGATTAAGACCGCAAATTCCACTACATGTGCCAGTTTCGTGGCTACTCAGGAAATAATCAAGCATGGTAAACCATTTACAGATGGAGATTATCTCAAAGAAACATTTGTTAAGATTTCAGAACATCTTTTCTCGGACTTCAGAAACAAAGATGAAATTTTGCAGAAAATAAAAGACATGCCTCTCTCTGCCAAAACTGTCCAAGACAGAACTGTGAAGATGGCAGAAAACATAACCAGACAGCAGATTGAAGATATCAATTCAGCTTTGGCCTACGCAATCGCCTGTGATGCGTCAAAAGACAATAATGACATTGAACAAATAGCGTTGTTCTGCCGATACGTGAGCGCTACTGGGCCACAGGAAGAAATGATTGATTTAATACCGCTAAAAGGCCAAACACGGGGGGAGGATATATGTGAGGCTGTATTGGACTGTTTGAGAAATAAAGAAATAAAGACCACCCACCTGGTTTCAGTAGCTACTGATGGGGCACCGTGCATGACAGGAGCGCAGAAGGGCTTTGTAACTTTACTCCAGAAGTCATTGGATAGAAAATTGCTGACTTTCCATTGTATCTTGCATCAGGAAGCACTGTGTGCGCAAACATTTCCTCCGGAATGCACAGAAGTAATGGATGTTGTCATTCAGATTGTCAACAAAATAATGGCAAAAGGTTTAAATCACCGTCAGTTTCGCTCATTACTAGATGAGATGGACACCAAGTACTCTGATCTCCTGCTGCATAACAAAGTCCGGTGGCTGTCCAGAGGAGAAGTGCTGAAACGCTTTGCAGCGTGTCTGGAAGAGGTGAAAACTTTCCTCAGCAGCAAAGGGCTCACCTTTCCTGAGCTGGAACAGCCAGAGTGGCTGGAAAAGCTACACTTTATGGTCGATATGACAGCGCACCTGAACACATTGAACACATCTCTTCAGGGGAAAGGAGGCACAGCTCTGCACCTGCTGGAAGAGGTGCTGGGATTCGAGCACAAGCTAACAGTGTTGGCCAAGGATTTAGAGCGACTCGCACTGCATCACTTCCCCTCTTTGAGAGAATACCAACAAGGTGGGAATGTGATAAATACGCAGTATTTGCAATCTGCAATCACTGCAATGCAAGCGTCATTTGGGAAACGATTCTGTGAGTTCAGAGAGGAAAAAAACACTCTATCTTTCCCTGTCACTCCTCTAAGCATCGATCCATCCCTGTTGAATATGACTGCATTTCCAGGTGTAAGTCAACCTGATCTAGAGATGGAACTGGCCGACATCGCCGACAAAGACATCTGGGTGTCAAAGTTCAAGAGTTTGACAGCTGATCTTGAAAATGTGTGCCATCAGAAGGCCGTTCTCGCTCAGAATCACAAATGGAGCGAAGTTGCCAACCTTCCCAAACAGGACAAACTTGTATTCAAAACATGGAATGCCATCCCCGACAGCTACATCAACATGAAGAGGTATGCATTTGGAGTCCTTGCAATCTTCGGATCCACATACATCTGTGAGCAGGTCTTCTCCAACATGAACTTTATTAAAAACAAGCACCGCTCACGC